TCTACTGATACATCCCAGGTAGATAATTTATGCAGAAACTTTCAATTTCTTAAAGGATGAATATAGTCGTTTATCCCCCTTGGGTTACATTAATTTTTGGTCTCAACCTAGATTTGGCGGAATTTTTGCTATTAGAGAAGGTTTTCTCACACATGTCGTACGGTAGTTGAGTACTTTGAACATTTGTAATTGATTTGTACATTATAGAAAATAAATGTAATTTTGGTTGGTGAGTTGAATGTAAGATTTTTCTTGCACGAAGCCTGTTGTTCCATGTCAAAGAAAATACAATTTAGTATAAGGTAATGCTTTTATATAGTATATGAATAATGATTGAAATTTTTTTTGATCAAATGAAACTTAACAAAAATAAAGTATTGAAACAAAAAAAAAACCAAAAAAAAATCCCATTCGAATACATATAAAAATGTTATTTAAAATTACATGCATATATGGTTGATTGTTAGATATATGGATGAACTGATGGAGTAAGGTTTTTGCAAGTTGAGAAGTTTTGAGGCCCATGCCACTTTAAAAAACAGTAAGGTAGCAATTGCCAAAGTGAAGAAGTTTGAGGGCTTATTTGAAGGTTTTTACTTGTAAATATCAGTGATGGGCTATTATCCGATCCGTGGGCTACCTTAATCTTTGCCCTTTAATTTTGATCATATATCTTGACACTTTTTAAATGGCTCTGATTTAAGGCACGTGTTCCATAATAGTCGGCTTCACCACATGGCATCATGTTATATATTTTTATGTTATACAGCAAGCAAAATAAAATGGCGAGCTTGACTCTGAAAGTACCGAACTTGAGATGCTTCTCTGTGTCTGCCTCATCCAATGGTACTCTCTTTCTCCATCGACTACATTTGTTGTATGTGGGTATGTCTGTTTGATTGGAATCCTCGCTGTTCTGTTCAATTTATCAAGTTCTGCCCTCAAAAATCCTGCTCAAAGTTGGAATCTTTAGGATTCAGATTACACATACACACAATCAAGTATGAAAATTTGCATGTAAATGTTTACCTTTAACTGTATTTGATTGGGTTGAATGCATATTAGGGGCTCCTCCGGGAGCTGGTTCACAAAGTGGGGGCCCGGTGATTTCGAAGCTTCCTCCTGATGAGATAAGGAGACCCCTAATGCGAACCAGAGCTAACGATCCAAACAAGGTGAAGGAACTCATGGATAGCATCAGAGAAATTGGCCTTCAAGTACCTGTAAGCACTCTTATCGTTGTGTCATTATCTTTATTTAATTTTAATTCGAGGTTTATTTGGATTTTTTTTTTTTTTTGCTTATTAATTAAATTATAATTTCAATTTCCAATTCAACTGCTTTGATGTTTAATATTTGTGTAGCATCAGTTGAAATTCAACGTTTTTACTCCTTGTGTGAGCATTGAGGGAATGGAGAGAAAATATGAATCTTTGTGTATGGAAGATCGAAGATTTACTTAATTAATGCTGTAGTTTGTTGTGCTTTAGACTGAGAGAACAAGTGGAAAGTTCTGCTGTCCCTGTCCTTGATTAGAAAGAATCGTCATTGCAAGTTCTCAATTCATTTACTTTTCACGCCTACCATCCATCGCAATCTAGCCTTAGCTAATAGAGAGCTTTATCATGTAGTTTTATTCTATCTCTAACTTCGAGCATTAGAGTTATCTCCAAGCAAAGATTTCCACTAAAGATAATAAATATAACTTCATAGTAAGAATGCTCTTCAGTTTTTTGCATAATTTGAACTATAAACAGCTGAGGATATTCATTTTACTCTCGAATAAGCTGAATTGGAGTCCATTGTGGTTGTTTTTTGAAGCATGTATGAACAGTAACGGTTGATGCCATGAGAACCATGAGCTCCAGTGCTAAGATGTCAAAACGCACCCATAATCTAGCTGACCATTAGGAGGAAAAGAATGCATTATTCCAAGTTGAAGCTTTATTGTAAGAAGTAGAATGCAGCACTTAAGAGAAGTAACCCATCAGATGATCCGGCATGTCCCCCCTTTTTATCCTGAGATCTGGCATGTCAGAAGAAAATTTGATTTTTTGGGAATAAAGGCAAGAGATATTAAAAGAAAGAAGCATCATTGGAATTTATAATGTCTCTGAATATACATTGAATAGATGCTGTTAATTAGAAGAAATTATGCACTTAAGTGTCAAGGAGATTGTTGCCATTCCAAAGACATCAAATGGGTCTAAAATTGGTTAGGTTACATGCTAGGAATTAGGATGTTCTCATAGGTTTCATTGCTTAGAACTGGTGATTTTAAAGATAACCTCACAATAACCATTGATGGGCTCTCTGTTAGAATGCAGATTGATGTGCTTGAGGTAGATGGAGTTTACTATGGTATGTGCTGATATCTTTATTTATTTTACTTTTGAATCTGTTGATTTTCTTCCACTCCTAGAAAATAATTACAAAATACGATGACCAAAAAGGAAAAAATGAAAAAATAAAAAGGAAAATCTCTCCCGCAGATCCTCCTCTGCTGACATATGCTTGCCTTTGCTAACCATGGCTTATCATTGTCATCTCTTTAGGTTTCTCTGGTTGTCACCAATATGAGGCTCACCAGTGCCTTAGGCTCCCAACCATACGCTGCAAAGTTAGACGTGGAACAAAAGAAATGCTCAGGTTTTTGTTTTAATTAGTCTTGTTAGTTTTCTTCTGAACTTACAAACACATTTATGCCCTTGATATCTTCATTTTCCAGGTATCATCTACGCTAAAGTGATATTCCCTTTCTAGAGTGCATTTACTGCTGCAACGATACCATATATACTCCAGGAAAGTCCTGCAAATGATGTATAGTTACAATTTACTTGTGCAAATTTCTGTTTATATTTTTCCAGTTTCCTTTCCATTTCTGAATACTGAATATTACATATGGATAGATACATACTGCCAACACAATGCTAGAAAAGGAATCATATGTTACAGTTAGCTCAGTATCTTCATATCTCATGCAGCATATAAAGACATTACTGTTTTTTTTTTTTTTTCTTTTTTCTTTTTTCCTTTTTCTTTTTGGAAGTGTTTATGTGCCTCTTCATGACTTCTGGAGAAAACCACGAAATACTTGATAGAAACAAAGATTCTACAATGTTGAAAAACCCTTTATTAATTTAGTTTTGTATACTCACTGAATACAAACTAGCAAGGTGAAAAGAAACAAAAGAATGCAATTTTTCAATACAAACTAATAATTAAGAGTGTAATCAATATATTTTTATAAAATTTAATTTATTAAGTATTTAATTAAATTCATATATGTGACATAAACATTAAATTTAATATTAATTTTTGTATTACTTTATATAAATTTATAATTAAAAAATATAGGTTAAATGCTAAATTTGGTCCCTCAACTTTAGTGGTTTGCACATTTTTGGTCCCTTGAGAATTTTTTGCACTTTTTTGATCCCTCAACTATAC